GGGTTGGCACCCCCCCCCCCCCCCCCCCCTCCACAAAAGGGTGGCGATCAAATTTTCCACGTACACGGAGTGACTGGAGCCGCACTACACTATAACAGGAACACGAGTTGGGAACGATGGCGGGGTGTTTGACTTGATTTGACGGTTGAGAAGCGCTTGCTTGCCTTGCTTGCATCTCCCAACCGAGCAGTCAATCTGCAATTTTGCGACACGGCGCAAGACTGGCTCTCGACTCCCCGCAGCGTCTTGACGTCATTTCAACGCGAAAGAAACCACAGGGCCAAAAAAGCATCAGAATTTCCTCTCACAAGACTCTGTTTCTTTACCGATCAAATGGCGTTCGTTCGTAGCTGCTCCCAAATAGAGAGGAAGAGCTGCACAGCTGCATCAAGTCGCCAAATCGCCACCACCAACACTCCGTGGACATGGCACCTGCTGCAGGGCATCCAGACAAAGGTTTATCCCACCCCGAAACAAACGTCTTGTAACAAAGGACCGAACAACGCGTGCCACTATTTACTGCCGTGCACGTGTCCTGGAACACCCAAACTCCGCACAACTTTGAACCACAAACCCGCCACTACCGTTGAGGCAAATAAGCAAAAGAAGCAAGTTCTTGCGCACAAAAAATGCGCGGAACGATCGAACCCAACAAAAAAAAAAGAGCGTCCCCAAAACAAGGACGTCAGGCCGCGGGGCCGACGACCTCAAATTCTCCGGGAGAGAATCATGCTCTAGTTCTTGTTTCTCTACTGGCGCAAGATTGTGCGGTTACGAACCCAGTCGTAGTCTGGCAAGCCCCCAACCGGTCCAAGCGCGGCCATAGCATGGTCTTCGTCGTTCACGAACCTGAGAAAAACACAAACAAGACAGAGACGAGAAGCAGCGGAGTAACCGTGTCGACGTCATTCGGGGGAACACGCGCAGTGCACAGGTGGTCAACACACGCACGGGAAGGACGGTGAAGGAAGGGCCTACAGCAGGGCAGGCGGCCTGCTACACGCCCAGGGTGTACGTCAGTATCAATAGTGAACCTTACACGGTGAAGTCGGGTGCGGGGGTAAGGGAAGCTGCCAATTTTAACTCGTGTGTTTCGTTTCAATGAACAGCAGCACCAGCAGCAACACACCGCAGCAGCACACCAGCCCCCACGTACCTGTTGGCGCAGACCCGAACGTCCTCCGCCTCGATCGCGTCGATGCGCGCGAACACCTCCGCCGCCGGCATTCTTCTGCCGTACGTGAGCATGTGGCGCCCTATCTCCTCTATCGTGGCCGCGAAAGAGTCGAGCTGCATCAGCATGTTGGTCTTGAGCTGCCGCATCGGGGGCGAAAAAGCAGCGGTCGGAGGGGGGTGTACTCATGTAAACGCATACCGTAGTCACTAGGCCAAATTGACCTCGCTCGCATCCCTACAATGCCAGGACGGGGGGACACTGCGCGACATGCCGAGTTTTTTTTGGGGGGGACAAGGGGTGAATGCACAGGGCACATACAAACGTGAGCTGCGAGCGCCAAGTCAAAAGCAGAATCAGGTCGCCGGCATGGTCGCGTGGGGTTGTCCGCATGGTTGCGCGTGCATTGGAGTGAGTCACGCGACATCTTCGACGTCGGTGCGGCCGGACCTCTTTTCGCCGCATCACGCAGCGGTTCAGAAAAGGCGTTGCCTATGTAGAACGGTTTGCACTTTCGAAGCCACTGCTTCACGTTCCCGTGCATCGGACATGAGTTCAGGAGCCACGAGCTACATAGCTTCCGAGTGTGCGAGAGCTGTTCGCCCCCTTCCGCTTCAGACGGGGAAACGCTGTGAAAACCAACTGGACCTACCCCAGCACAAGTGCATCCACTCAAACGCGTCGCCAATGAACGGCAGTCTCGTTAACTCTTCGGTGGCAGCGGCAAACACAGCCGTCAGAGCGTAGAGCACTGGCAACATGCATCATGCATGGACACGATGGGGGCAGATGCAGACCGCTACCGGGTGCAAAGACGATTGGGCGACTTGACCACAAAAACGACGGCTTCCGACATCCACCCGTGTTCTTCCAGCAGAACATCGTACCATACGATACCTTACCGTACCTTGCCATACCATACTTACCATACGGTACCGTGCTACACCATACCGTACCATGCCAAACCATACCATACCGTACCGCACCGTACCTGGGTTTTCGCCCGCTCCACCTCCTCGTCTCCCACGTGCTGGCACATCCGCACCATGTGCTCCAACACAAGCCCGGTCAGCTCCTCCAAATGCTCGGCTGGACAACATCGGCAGCGAATAAATAAAAAATTGCGGGAAATTTGTGAAGATGCTCCTTTAGGACATCGGTTCTTGTACGTGATAAAAACAACGGCGGGACGCCCTTCATGGACTTATAGATGTGTAGCGGAATTGCATGCCACCCAACCGCGACGGGCGACACTTCGTAAGGTCGACTGCTGTGCGCGGAAACTCGTTCGCACACACGGCCACTCGCCACATGACATAAAAACAGCGCTTCCACGCGTTGGCGGAATGTATCAGGGCTTGGATTGGCCCGGCAGCCTCGTGCTTCCAACAACACGATCGCGCAAACGCCGCCAGTCGGATACACGAACGAATCGATGAACCAAAAAAAGCCGTCAAGGTTTCAAAACAGCAACCAACAAGAACAAGAACAAGAACAAGAACAACACGGAGCCGTTGCTAGGCAGCATGCATCCCCCCCTCGCCAAGACTGCCGTCTCGGACGCCCGCGGTTCGAGAGCGCGCGCGCATTCACGTTGGGCGATGGCGTAGATACCGAACAGGCCCGTGTCGTTGTAGCAGGTGTTGAACGTGGTGTACGAGTGGCATATCTCCCTCGGCGACATCGCCAGCGCCTGCCCGAGGGGGGGAACCACGTTCGCCCCTGGCCAGAGACAAAAGGGAGAGAGCAGTAGACAACGGTGTCGCATAAATCACAATATACAGGAAGCATGCCGTATCGTCACCCCGGTTCCAACCCAGTCAAGCCGCTAAAATCACAAAAAGAGTGGGGGTGCCGCAGCTCCACAAGCATCGCACAGCAGCAGCAGCACGTGACCGTACCAACCCAATAGTAAGCACGATTGCTGCTCGATCGCTCGACGATCCACAGCAGCAGCAGTAGCAGTACAGCAAGCGACCGTACTTGACGACACGATTGTCACGAACTCCATCTACTGCTCGATCGCTCGACGATCCACAGCTGCAGCCGTAGCAGTACAGCAAGCGATCGTACTTGACGACACGATTGTCACGAGCTCCATCTACTGCTCGATCGCTCGACGATCCAAACCCACAACACCTTCATGCCGTAGCTGCTATTGAATGCCACGCCGTCACGCACGATGGCCGAAAAAGAAAAAAAACGCATTGCCGCTGCGCGTCGTAGTGGCCCATGATTCACGCAGGCCTGTGGCCGAAATCAAACTCTCACTTCGTAACAGCAGCACGTACAAAACCTGAACATGCCGCCGGTTACAAAAACGCGTCTTCGAAAACCATGGCACCAAACCGACGTGGGGTTCGATGGTACGAAAACACGTTTTCTCTGGAATCCACCCACAAAAACAAAAACTACGGAGTAATCGACCGCTACATACAGAAAAGTGGTCACGGTGTAAATGCCGGTTGAATGATGCCGATTTCGCTGAATAACGCCGGAGGAATGACGTGACACGGGGGGAATATTCAAGCTGTTTCATACCTCCAGTAGTGCCGGTTTGCCCGCTGTAATGCGGGCTGGCTGGCAACTAACTACCGGCATTGTAGCGGAACCACTACCGTACAATGGCGCGACACAGGGGGAATATGCTAGCTGTTTCACACCCCGAATAGCGCCGGTTTCCCGCTGTAATGCGCGCTGGCTGGCAACTAACTACCGGCATTGTAGCGGACCCCCACTACTGCACATGGATCGTGGCGCGCGAGGAGACGTTGCGTGTCTTAATTGTATCTAGCCGACGTCGTCGCTCTGCTCACCGCTGCTGCGGTCCCAGCCCCCCATGATGGTCTGCATTATCATGAGCGGGAAGGCGTGCTCGTCGGTCCAGGAGGATCCCTGGAAGGCGAGGGCCAGGTAGGCCTCCGACTCCTTGGCGTTGAGCACCCGCTTGTCCGCTCCGGAGAACACGGCGGGGTCCGGCTGACCGGGGGGGGCGAGCGCGCAAAAACATACACGCATGACCGTTGCAGCGGGGCGCGGCGGGAGGGAGGGAGGGAGGGGGGTGGGGGGGGGGGGGGAAAACTCCTGGTCCCCGGAAATGAAGAACACCCGCCCAAAACCCCCGCCCCCCGCCCCCCCCCCAGAGGACCGAACCCGGACCCAATGCCCAAGGGCAAAACGTTTCTTGGTATTTTTTGAAAAAAGCGGGCCCAAAAAGGTTTTCCCATCCCGGCTGTTTTCCCCCTCCCCCCCGGGTGGGCCCCCGGGTACACCCCCAAAAACCCAAAAAACCCCGGGCCCCTCCCCCCCGGGGGCCCCGGACCCCTGTTTTTTCCCCCCCTAATTGTCACCAAAGCCCTTTACGGGAAGGGGGGGTTCCAAAAGGAAACCCAAGGCCCCCCGGCTTGGGGGGAGGGG